AGACCAGGCTGGAAACCAGCCTGGAAATGGCCAAAAACCCTCTAAAACCAGCCTGGTCAACCAGCTAAAACCAGCCAACCAGCCTAGGCAGGTTTAAGCTGGATTTTTCAGTAGGGGCATGATAACAGAACATAAAAAGAGCAGATAGGATTCTAGAACAAGAACAAGTAGTAAGTCTGAGATAAGCAAGATTTAAGAAACTAATCTTGAAATCAGAAGAGAGGTGCATGTCCTCTTTTCAAAAATCGGAAATCATTACAATAAATCTCAAAATTATTAGCCGGCAGCTAGCTCTCTGCCACTCTCACATGCAGCAGGGCTGCGGCAGGTTAGTACCTGGATGGAAGACAACATGGGAAAGCTAGGTTGCTGCCAGAAGTGGTGTAAGTTCCAGCAGGGGGCGCCCGACGAAACGTCAAACAGACACGGTTGCTCCTGAGTCCTGTCAAACCTCCACTAGTTTTTCCTCCATTTCGTGGGTCTAAATAAACCGAAAAAGAGCGCCTTCAACTTCTCCCCCAGCCTCCCGCTGGCCTGCAGCAGGTAAACACACACGCACACACAAGTGAATGCTGCTCTCTCATTGGCTGTAGGCGATCGCTGATGTTATTTTCAGTCAGAACTCAATTCACACGGCATGATTTGAATCGCCGACAGCTCCAGATATTCAGCACGCCAAATATCTCGCAGGCATCGGCGACTCATCGGCATTCTTCTTAGATCGCATCTTTGATAGTTCAAACTGTGTGATTGTCGCTCACGTGCACGAGCAGCGATTTGCCTGTGATTTCAGGCATTTGTCGGCGATTTCTCAAAAGCTGTCGGCGAGCCAAAATCGAGGCTAAAATCACGCAGTCTGAACTAGGCATAAGTCAAAGTTCTCGAAAAACGACAAAGTCTGAGATCTCCGAAGTCTTTAGGCAAAGCAGATTATTGTTACAGCATCAGTAACAACAGAGACAGGTCGTTCGATTGTCTGCCGGACATAGGCTTGCACACAGTTTAAATACATTTCTGTGTCTGATTACTCCACCCAAATTTACACAATACACACCTGCATCAGCTTCTCCGCTAATGGGATCTTAAATCTCTCAGGTGCCCGCCAACAATACGTAGAATCTCAGGGTCTTTCAGGGGTCTTATCCATGTCTAGTTAAGGTCTTTCCTTCCTGTTTCAAAAGTGATGACTCAGCAAAAAAAAAAAGTTCAGCTAAAGTTCATGAGTACTCATATTTTTTTAGATGTCATTACAAATGAGTGTGGTTGCATGTGCAGGTGTGCCTTATCATGAGTTACAGAACAGAACGCAGGTGTCCTTATGGCCTTGCATCCATAAATCTACCCTCATTGTGACATTATTGCTGCACTTTTAATTTATCTTCTCACACATACCTGATAATAATGCCACAGGTATGGGTAATAATACATAATAATACTGAAATCACTCACATAAGCATATAAATGAGAGTAATACATTCATCAGAAATTCATCAAGACACAATGAGTTCCCCAACACTATGCTTTTAGACATGGTCGGGCCAGGCTCGTTCTGTAAATGAACAGTCATGTGATGCATTTCGATTAGCACGAGAAAGAAATTAAATCGTTGGTTACAACATTAAAGTCAGGTCAGCCGCCAGTTTGTTAAACTATGTTAAAACGCGTATAAACGACTCAAAAAGGCAAAAGAGCTGTGTGCATGTGCACGTTTGAATAAAGTCTGGCTGTAAATGGGTTCGGGCTTTGAAAAAGCTGTCAATCAAAATTTGTCAGGCTCCCTATCAGGCTTAATGTTTATGGCCCGGCTTTAACTTACTAGCATCAGGCGCTTCAAGTCACAAGCATACAGTTACAAACTTACACAAAACACCAACTCGACTACCTTAATTCCCTTATTAAAATGTTAATGTCATGACTGGGTCAGTGACCACCTGAGGGCGCTGTAGTTCATCGGACTCCTAGTTGGAACTACAGCGTCCAGAAAGACTACAAATACATACATACCACGCGCATACACCGGAACACATACACTGATTGTATTCACAGCTGTCTCCGTTTTCTGTTGATAATCTGGACTATATATTCCATCATGCCACCACTGTTTGTCATCGCGTCGTTGTCTTCCTTGTCCGAGTTATTCCAGTAAGTCTTGGTTATTCTGATCTTGTTCTTGTATTTTTTTTTGCCATAGTCTAGTTCGTCTTTTATTTGTCTTTCTCGTCTGCTTCCCAGCAAGTCTAGTTTTTCGAGTTTATTATTCCTGAGCCTTGTCTCTAGTCTAGTTTCTGGTTTTGTCGTTTGTTACTTTGTACTTTGAACACCTTGTTTTATGTTGATGCACTGCAAATAAATATGCACTTGGATCCGCACCTTTTTGTTTTCCTGTTTTGATCACGCTAACAAACGTGACAGTTAATCCGTTTTATTTTCAAACACAACCCTGCTGAAAAATCCAGATCCAACCAGCATAGGCTGGTTTAAGCTGGACTTTTCAGTAGGGAAATCCACACACACAGTTGAACAGTTTCTTTTTAATCTCAACTTTGCTTACACTTCTACATTTAACACTGAAAATAATGACAAGAAATGCACATGTACGTTAAAAAATGCCACAGAACAATATTTTATAGTCTCCTGATATTCTGGATCGTCAGATGGAGACTTCTGGAGTTCTGTGTCTTTGGACATTTGTTTCTCATTCTGCACTTTTCCTCTTTATCGCTAGGGTGGTTATCCAGAGCAGGGAATAAGCTAACACTCGAAGACCGAAGGTCAGTCCTTGAAACAGAAACCTTTTGGGGGCCAAAAATAATTTAGTTAAGAGCTTTTGTACGTTTTAATTATCAGAGCATGATAGGGGAAATGTGAAACTTCCGTCAGATGTGCTCACCTGAACGTCTCAATGTCGTAAAGTCTGCAGGCACCTCTTCCACAAGATTTCTTCAGCGCCCATTTCAGACAGGTAGAGTCAATAAGATGACCGAAGTAAATGGGTGCAGGAATACCACCTTTAACAAGAAGTTGCAGGAATCGCATTAGAAACACTGCTGTACCAGGCATGAATGGCGGATTAAAACAAGAAAATAAATACTACACCTTCCAAAAACTCACCCAAAACTCTTATAGCTAACAGCAACATTCCCACAGAGAGAGACTTCAGCTCAGGATCCACAATCCTGCAAGGACATTTTTGATGACATGAGCATTTTAGATGCAAGCTCCAATTTCCAATAAACATTTTGCGCAAGTGTAACGGAGGCCAGCTAATGTGTGCTGTGCAGGTAAACCTTACTCCTCTGACCTCTAAAGGTGCTCTAGCGACAGACGCTAGAGGTCATGGTCTTTAGCCTCCTTGTTAGAGCGACCGACTCCCATGCAGAAGGTCGCCGGTTCGATCCCAGTCTGGAGCGGGTTGGGTGGTGTAGGACCGGCAGGGTTACATTGGTGCCGTGACCCGGATGGGAGTGAGGTTTAGGGGGGTGAGTGTAACGGAGGCCAGCTAGTGTGTGCTGTGCAGGTAAACCTCACTCCTCTGACCTCTAAAGGTGCTCTAGCGACAGACGCTAGAGGTCATGGTCTTTAGCCTCCTTGTTAGAGCGACCGACTCCCATGCGGAAAGTCGCCAGTTCGATCCCAGCCCGGAGCGGGATGGGTGGCGTAGGACCGGCGGGGTTACACAAATCCACATGTAGCTTTATATTAGATTGGTCTATTTGGGCCTTTGCACTACGGTAGGGTTTATAGATTTTGTTTTCTATATCAGATCACAACACACATTATTAAAAAAAAATCTATAACAAAAGTATTGAAATAAAAAGCTCGTCAAATAGCACTTGCTTGCATTTTAATGACTTGAATTGCCAGGGTTTGTAATTTTAGGTCGTGAATTTAAACATAGCTGTTTATTTAAACTGAATATTTTAATTTAAACACATTGCGGGGGGGTGGCGGCGGTGTTACGCCTGATTTACACTTTCCCCTGGCGCCGCGTCGCTGACCTCAGCTGACTGTGCATGCACCTCACGAAACAGACGATGCTTTGAAAAATTATCGTGTTGCCCATTGTGATACGCTTTAGAACGACGGGCAGGCCCGGATTGGCTAATCGAGAGCACCAGGAGAATTCTAGGTGGGCCGGTCCGTTTTTTGGCCGTGAGGGCCGGTGTCCCTAGCTGCTTGCACTCTCAGCTGTCACACTTTTTTTTCATCTATTTATTTCTTAGATCATAGCTTCACTCTTTTAATTCATTATTTTCCCGCAGTGCCGCTCTTCTTAATTTTCTCGCAGCCCCGTGAGCAAAATGCCGCCTGCAGGTTAACTAATGTAATGACGATGTGACGTTAACTATCTTCATCCGACCCCAAACAGCGAATTCGAGAATTCGAATAATTAACATTAATGAATAATACACCTGCTCAATGAAAATCAGATGATTCACCACATTAACAAATCTGACATAACTTGATCAGAAATCTAAAAAGGGGAGAAAAAGATTAAACCGTCAATAGAAAGTAATACCGTGTCTTGCGGGTCACAGTCCAATACTTATTTTTTATTCCCACTGAAATAGTGCTATTGTGGACTAGTGGTAAACGTGTTCAATTATGACGCTGCAGACCCGTGTTCGAATCTCACCTGGAAAATAATTTTTTTTTTTTTCATTTTAATTGTTAATACATATAATACTGTTAGGGCTTTTGAACATTTGAAGTTCTAAAGCAGCTGTTTTCTTGAAAAAGACGTGATAGAGTAATTACAATCTGAATTGGAAATGACCTTATTTTAAAATAGTCAGTCGTGAACTGAGGTGGGCCGGTCTGGCTTGAAACTCCAGGGCTAAAAAGGAGTCCCACTCCGGCCCTGACGACTGGGGTGATAAAAAAAAAACACCGTAAAATCAGATTGATAAACAGAGAAGTTTGCGGAACGACATCTATCATTAATATCCCACCACCACTGGCCATTAGAAAAAGAAAGAAAAAAAAACCCTCTCCCAGTTTCTTCTTTCTGGCGTTTAGATCCTCCGGCCCTTTTTCTATCTTCCTTCCATCATTTATTTACCTTCTATTCCCCTTTTCAAACCCCTGTCCCGTTCTCTTTCCTGTATCTTCTAGCGTCGAGTTACTCTGCTACTCTTTTTCTTGTATCTGTCATTCCCAGCACAAATCGATGCTGTATTGGCTGCGAAAGGAGGCCCTACACTAGGGGTCACCAATCTCGTTCCTGGAGGTCCGGTGCCCTGCAGTGTTTAGCTGAACCCAGGCTCATTCTGAAAATGTAGTCCAGCGGACGTTTCTGGAGATGTCCCGGGAGGTACGTATGGCTGCATTTTATTTTTTTAAGCGAACGCTAGGGGGCGGTGTGACGCCGTTCCCTTTCGCGCTTGCCGGCTGACCGCTTACCTCCGTGTGGAGGGCTTTCCCGCTGCAGTCAGTTTGTCCAGTCAGCTCATCGTGTGCGCTGGCGGACTTCAGATGCAGAGAGGAGGAGTTGACAAAGGCGTCCGGGTTCGAGTCCGGGGATGAGCGGTTCCAGAAACCAGGTAAGACAAAAACAGAATCCAAAAAATAAAGCTAACGAGTTCATAACAGGGTGAGAACGTGGTAAAATCCGAAAAACAGACGAGGGTTTTTCTTTTTCAAGTCGGCTTTTCTAAATTGTTGCTCGGGTTTAGGGAAGTGAGCGGGTGGGCGGGTCAATCGGTAAAACCGGTTGGGTTCAGGGAAGGAGGAGGGCGGGTCGGCCGATTGCGCAGTCAATAGCTGCGTCCCAAATGGCACACTATACACTATGTACTTATATGTACTTGCACACTCAACAGGATAGTATATGTATGTAGTGTCGTCCCAAATGCCACACTAATGTTTTTTTACTAAGCGGAAATTCAAACCGTTTCCCTGATGACGTTTGATGGTTGCCAAATCAGTGAAATAAACAACCGAATTATCAAATAATACCTGCCGTGAGTATTGCTGCATTCACCATCGGGAGGCGCTATAATCACTCTCGTAGGAGAATTTTGCTTTTTACAATCCAAAATAAATAAAGTTATCCAACATGTGCGTCCGATAGCTTCGCCCTTTCCGCTACGTAAGCAAACTTGCGGTCGTTGAGTGCGTGAAGTGTCCATCATTACACACTTCATTTTAGCGGCTGAATGAGTGCATCATCCGGGTAATTAAAGTGCACTTATTATTTTAAGAGTTTTTAGTGTGAACGCACTACTTACACTATTTATACGACAAAATGGCGTAGAATAGTGCATAAGTATGCGATTTGGGACGCAGCTAATCATTCGGTCAGTCAGACAGCGGCCTCTGGTGGGTTGACGCGAGAACAACGCGGGCACTCGCGAGAGACGTTTGAGATACGAAAAAGCGCACACAGCGGCCTCTCGCGGATTCACGAAAACAAAAACTGCACAAATACGTACCTCCCGGGATGTATTTTGCGGTCTCCAGAAATGCCTGTTGGACTACGTTTTCAGAATGAGCCTGGGTTGGTTTAGCTCCAACTTGCCTCAACACACCTGCCTGTGTGTTTCAAGTATACATAGTAAGAGCTTGATTAGCTTGTTCAGGTGTGTTTGATTAGAGTTGGGGCTAAAATCTGCAGGACACCGGCCCTCCAGGAACAAGTTTGGTGATCCCTGCCAAACACCATACTAATTTATTATTGTAGTCTATATTATACCTTAGAGACATGGTGAGAAAGGGAACAGTGCCAAGACTGTACACAAAGAAGGCCAAAGACTGCAATCCCAGATAAATGTAGAACGTTCTGTTGCAGTTGGGATCTCGTGAACACTGGCCAAGAACTGCAGAGGAGTTGCCAACGCTCAGTCCCCAGCTCTGAATACACCTGCAGTCATGGAATGTCTGACAAAACAAGACAAGAGAGAGGAAAATACACTTACAAACATGTAACACTGAACTGAAGGAGATTGTTATTCGCTGCATTCACCTTATTCCGTCCTGCACCCAGGGTGGAATTGCAGCCCGCATGGCAAGGGGAGATGTAGGTCACTCCATTCTCTCCACACACTGGATCCCATTGGAAGTCTGAACAACCACAGTCAGCATTGCAAGAAGGGAGTACATCACTGATTATATCCATATCTTCTGTAGATCTGCCACATGAACAAGTCATTGTCATGTTGTATTACAATGTACAAGTGAAAATTTGAAAATTAATAGATTATACTTGATAGGGAAAAAATTACCCTTGATAGGGCACTGTAACCCCTGCGACATCTAGATCTTCACAGCTGAGAGCGAAGAAAGGTACGGTTAAAAAAATCATGGCGACACCGGCGAACAAATTCACTCTTGCAGACGTCAGCAGACCCCATTTAAACCTCTTCATCATCAACCCACTCAGAAAAATACCCAGAGCCACTGCCGGAAGAGACGTCACTCCTGAGAATAGCATAAATAAAAACAGTCAGACTGGAAATACAGGAAAATTCTAGTAACCATCACAGTTGTCACCTATCAGAAAGTTGGTTTTGGATGCGCTTTGTCCAAACTGCTGTTCCAGATACTTTGGCGTGTACGTTATGGTTATGGCAAAGGTGTTGAATGCCACTGTACTGTAAGCCAGGTACAGAATGTAGATCTTATTGGTGAGCAGACGTTTAAAAGATGGTGGTAAGTCTAGAAAAGAAACAATCAGAAATAGTTTTTTTTTTCTATTATCAGAGGAGATGACTGTATAAAATTGCCATACCTTTGACTATCTCTGTAAGGCTGGGTGTGGTTTTGTGCTGTTCTGAGGGGTGGTCTAGCTCGGAGGTTTGGGAGTTTTCAGGCAGAGCTCTTGGCAAGAACCAGAAAGGAAAAACAGCAGGGATATTCAATAGGCCAGCCACAACGAAACCCAACCACCAAGCCCCAACCCAGCGAGAGTCCTGTGGTGTGATGGTCACGCTTTCTAATAATAAGAAGAGAATATGCTATGATAGAATAATTCATAAATAATTTAATTATCAGATGAATACAGTGTCCGTGGGGTCCATTTTTTATTTTGATGAAATAAGTTATTTTCCATTTAGTGTTGCCCTTCAGAAATAACAGAAGATACGTGGATGTTTCCCAGAAGACAAATCCAGTACAACGCCAAATCAAAAATAGTTCATACTGTCGCAACTTTTTCTGATATGGGGTTGTACAACTTTGCTTGTTCTTGAAATTCCTAAAGTTTTTACCCCCAGCTAAGTCCATTGTGCTTCCTTCTGGAGTGTCACCCTGCTGATAAATCCAGCTTAAACCAGCCTAGGCTGGTTGGCTGGTTTTAGCTGGTTGACCAGCCTGGTTTTAGAGGGGTTTTGGCTATTTCCAGGCTGGTTTCCAGCCTGGTCTCATTGTGGAACTTTAATAGCAACAGATTGTTGATGTGGCAAAATCTGGAAAAAAAAACATACGCAGGAATCCACTGATGACCTTTTTGGTTCTGACTTCTTACCAATTCAGCAGACTGAGGCACACCCTTGTTTCACACTTCCTGTATTCAATCATAGCTACTTTCAAGGGCAGCATGTATATCAGAGGTCTCTAACCCCACTGCAGAAGAGCTACCGGCTTGAGAAGTCCAACTCAAACCCAATTGAGCTAGCTAATCAAAGTGTTCAGGGTTTTGTGAAAACTGTGTTCAAGCGGATTTGAACTAAGCTCAGGTGTTTGGTAGCTTTCTGAGAGCAGAGTTCGGACCTATTAATTTATCCTCAAAACAGTCAGGTACAGTTGACCTTCCTTCTCATTGAAAGTAAAGTGTGGCAACCCTTGGAATAAGCTGAAGGAAAGTTAGTGCATGAGGTTTGCCATCAAATGTGCTCTACCTAAAGGCACTTGAAAAGTTGAGAAAGTCCCATCTTCTGCAGCGAGCAGCACCACTGAAGCGGCGCTGACGGATCCACAATGCAGTTAGGCAACGCCTGACGTCACCCAAGAATGAAGGATGACACTGGGTTTCATTTTTCATTCCTTTCTGCCAGTGAAGCCTTAACTGGGTCCCTTTTCTGACCCTAAAAGTTGTTGTAAACTCAAGAGGAGTCTTAACTCCACTGAACAATTTGTTCTGAATAAGAAATCCCAACATGAATTCTTATCGACTAGTAAAAAATAAAGTATAGTATAAAGTGTGTTTGGCATTCTGTCCCGGTAGAAAGCCCTGAGCTCAGAATATCCTACAAGCAGTAGTAACATGAGTGTTGACTTACAAAGAATCAATTTGGAACTAGGCTCTGGATCCAATCCATCTTTGGAACTGCCTTGGTGGAGAAGGGGTGTGTATATATGTCACGGTACGTTGACGGGACGGAGACAAAAAGGATGTTGGATCCAAGTGCATTTAATGATGAAAACGTGCGATAACAGAAAAATCAAAAATATCCAAAGTACAAAGTAGCAAACAAGGAACTATGACAGATTAACGGGAGCAAGACTCAAGAACTATGGCAGGATAACAAAATACTTCTCAGAACAAACAAGACGAACGACGAACTGACAAACAATGGGTGAATGGCTGTAAAAATAGTCCAAGAAATCAAGAGGAAAACGGAGACAGCTGTGAATACAAATCAGTGTAAGTGGGTTCCGGGTGTATGCGCGTGGTATGTATGGACTTGTAGTTCTTTAGGGACTGTAGTTCGCTCTGTGTTAATATTGAACTACAGTGCCCTCTGGTGGACAC